CAGGGCCTGGAGCACCGAAATGACGGACTAGCTGTAGGTCTGCCGGCATAATGGAACTCGTGTTGCCGCGAAGCTATGATTCGCTTCCAAAAAACTCGTTTTCTTGAGAAGGTATGGTGGCACCAATATTACGGGACCTTGGTCCAGAGTTTTAGTGTGGCCGACCTAAGTCAATATCTGTATGGCCATCATAGGGCTCTGTGTGCCATTCTTGAAAAGGACAATTGGGCTGAATGAATGTCACGGTCAAGAAACTTGGTCGAACTCCCAGATGACACATGGTACCTAAGAAAGGTACTTTGGAAGTATTTTCATTTTTAACAACTAAAGTGGTCAGTCGATCAACGTAACATTATTAACCGTTATATCTGCAGCTGCAAATGATTCGATTGTTCGCAAATATTTAATTTTATAAAGCTGAATTGGCTCTAACTCGAAACGTGAACTGGGTTGCGTTGAAACTCGTAAATTTAGTGTTTGTTAATAATCAAATTAAAGCAGGATGTTAAGTTTCGGAGAGCGTGAGGATAACTTCCGCAAAAACGCTTCATAAGGTCACGAAATACCAAGCGCTGAATGCCGAGTAGGCGTCAGAGAGAGTTATACTAAAGCAGACACCCACAAATTTCTGTCCCAAAGGGAAAAAACGTACCAACTTTGCGCCCTTCGGAAACAGGCAGAACCTAGCTGAGGTACTACTGCGCGTCACGTACTTGGATTAGTAAGAAGCAGCATAAGAGACCTCGTAAGGCAAAACAGAAAATACGTTCAGACAATAATGCAAACGTTCGCCACATTTACAGCCGTTCACATAAAAGGTATAGAAACTCAACAAGTTCCAACCTCTCGAGCAAAGTTGTAAGGCCACACGCTACACACTAAGCTAACTGGTAGGTTCAAGTTATTGAAATTGTCGCTCGTTATATATTTTCGCAGTCTGTTCTGTCCACTGAGAATTAAAGATTCTAGAATTAAACTACTAAGAAGGTTCGAGTATGACAGAAAAATGTGCAAGATCTGGGCGTAATACGTATGCAGAATTCCAGGATACTGCAGTATCTTGGGTACTTAGACACCCTTAGTTGCAATAAGCTTACTTAGGCCGCCAGAGACATTAATAATAAGAAAATTACAGCAAATTGGACTAAGAGTTAACGAAGGTCCTTCAAAATAACTTAGTACCTTTTCTGAACTATTCTGGAATGGCTGGGTCTGAGGTCGGGCACTGACGAGCTCTCAGTACAACCCTGGAGGGGAGAAGGCGAAAAAGCGGGCATAAGGACAAAATTGTGGAAGTCACCGCAAACGATAAGTAGTCAATGCTCTAGGTCTGCCTATAGACAAACCCGGACCATGCATAAAAATCCTGAGTAAAAATTAATAAAAACGCCTAAACGAGAGACGACTGTTGGCTTTCTGTCTAAAAAAACAGACTTTTTCCAGTACTAACGTTAGTAGACAAATCTAAATCACGTGCAGTACCGCCCTTGCCAACACATGACCCCGGGGGCCAGACGGGACTAGGCCCCGTCCACATTTTGGTGAATTTCCATCCTTTCTAATGACGTCATTCTGCATTATACTGGACAGATTTTGCTCTCTTATCGTTAAATATAAGCTTTTTGCTTGTTAAATGCGTTTTTAGGCGAGTGAAATTGAGAGAAATCAATTTTTGCCTAAGGCAAATATTGACCTCGTTTAAGTCGGTCATGTACACGCCCACGTGGACGGCACTCTTTCGCTGACTGTGCGCACGCCAGATCAATTCAGATATTCAATTCATACTCCATATCTGGCTCGTTTCGACTGCAGTACGTAGGTACAAATTATTTATTTATTATTGTAGTTGTTTTTTTTCTTACAGGAGCCTGCCGTGAATGAAAACTTCCGTCAACAGAACACTGCCGTTTAAATGACTGACCAATACATATATGTATCTCATATGCCCCCTGTACATACTACCCCACCACTTTTTTTATTTTACATGTTCAATAAACTACCACATGCAAATACTTGCTCTCCATTGATTTTGTTCCCGTAGACCTCCGGACATGTTTGAGTTGTTGGTGCAATCACTATAGTTAGAGGGTGGTAATACTTAGTAAAAGTAAGAGTTATGGGTGTACAGCGATCAAAAGTAGAATAGTATAATCTACTGTACGGAGAATAAGAAAGGCATAATACTGGTAACGCAAATAAGGGGTAAATATCAAGGAGAGCACGGCGTC